ATGGAATTGGACGAGTTATCTGATTTTGCTAAGCGAAGGCTTTTGTTCTGACCTCTTTTTTAGGCTTCAAAATTATCATGGCCAAGCTTTGCCGGATAGATTGCTTCCATTCAAAATAATCCATGCCATTGTGTGACTCAATGCCACGAAAAACCGAACATATGCTGCAGGCGGCGAAGCGAAGCGACCTAATCAGCTGCGCTTTAGTCTCATAATCAGGCGCTCTGTGCAAATACAGGGCCAGAATGGTGGTCGTTTGGTACACGAGTCGGTAGCACTTTCAAGTGAGCACCACCTAATCCGCTACAGCTGACGGTATCGGTACGGTAAAAAGGGGATTGGTCTATTGATTCAACCCGTAGTCATTAATGTTACTTAGTCCTAGTCGGCCAGTAAATCGTCGATGATTAGTGAGATTTTGTTAGGTGGGAAAGGGGGCCGTTAGAACCCGTCGGTACGGGGATCGATTCCTGGCTAAAAGCTTCATGTCAAAGAGCCTTCCATCTTTCAGTTGCAAGCTAGCTGCTGTGAAACCCTTTTAAGAAGATAAAAAATTGTTTAACCCACAAACTATTGTTCGGGACAATGGGAACTGGAAGACTTCATGGGGAGAAATCGTTACTCTCGTTGTACACGTTCAAGCCAACCGGGCCTTCTATCCCTCCGGGTCGATCCAATGGTAACAAACTCGTCTGGGAGGAGTGATCGTCGCAGTCGGATGCGGGAATCATGCCAGAATGGGATGGATCAGTGCTGGACGACTCTATTCTACTCCAATACCCAGAAGGATGCCTACTAGCGCTGAAGTAGCCGTTCTGATGGGAAACTGGCTACGGTAGGCCGAGTTGACCTCACCTGCCTGCACTTGTACCATATCATCAGATGCAGTAAATGTCCCTAGAAAGGGATGTTTGTTTGGCTTTGTGGAAACAAATGGTCTACAGCTGCTGGTCTCAAGCAACAGATAACGCATTCCGTATTGACTGTAATCCATCACAGAAGGGTAAACATGCCATAATGATGAAGATTTACACTCACGTTCGGGCTCCATCCATGAATACCCACAATGCTACTAGAAATACGACATCCTCGAATGTTCAGATGGGAAGGCTAGAAGGAATTAAATTGGGCAATGTTCTCAAGTTGTACACGGCAAGGAAACTTGAATTGCGAATGGAAGGGCGGGAATATGTAGCATGTTGATACTGTACTGTCCTAAGGGAAAAAATGGCAGCGATGTTTGAACCGTCGGGATTTCCACAGATTATGCCGTGTGTACAACCACTTGCCAAAAGTCCGAACCATCCAAGATGAGCCATGTACGAGTAATCTCTCAAAGCTACGTAATTTATTAGGTATTGAATTGGGCCGCACAGAGGCCCATATGGGGCAATGAGAAGCATCTAGTTCTGTTATTTGGGACCGTTTTCTGTGATCGAAACGTTTTCGTTTTCACATAATGAACTCTCGTTAGTGAAGGGTAGGATTTTTCTTAATCAATGTCCACGATTCAATTCACTCGATCAATTTATCAATCAATCGATTGACCAAGTCAATCGAGCGGATGTTTCATTTTTTAGTTCTTCTCGTAAATGTCCCGAGTTTTCCACTATACTTAATTTATTGATGACTCAAGTAGTTGTGTACCTTTGTGTCAAAGTTTAACCATCTTCACTGCATTGGTGAGTAAGTTAGCGACGTAATCAATCAGCCAACTAATTTCATGAGTTTTTGCAAATCGTTGCCAATTCATCTCCGTGCAGACGACATCGGGAAAGAATTCCGGAAACAGCACAGTTGTCCTTGTAGTGATTATAATTACATGTAGGCGATTTTTCCTTCGGAAGCCCCTATCAATTTCGATCAGTGTAAACTCGAAAGAACACATGTTAATGGGATCGACAGGGGAGATCCACTTGGGCTGAAATTAATGACGACACTGACCAAACACAATGGTCTCATGCACCACTCAAATCACGATTCGTATTTAAGAGGGTGAAGGAATGTGAGGGTGGGTCTCGATTCGAATACGAGAGGATCAGGCAATGGAGGCAGTGGCGAGCGAAAGAGAACCCATTTTCATGATATTTTATGATAATTCTAATTACTTCATGATGCGAACAACTTTTTTTCTTGTTATTTGGTTCACAATATTTTTGAATAATTTCTCCACGTAATGTCCCCAAACGGGCCCTAAATGACTCTCCGTCAGTTTGATTAGGTGAACCGAAGCAGCGACATCAGGTTTCAATGATCCATAATCCTAGATTTCCCTTGTTATCTTACCATGACAAAGTAGTGCAGTTTCTTAGCTTCCCTGAGGTACGCCACATACTCGTCTTCACTCTAGGAATATTGTTCCTTTTGAAAGGGCATTCACGAAGAACAGTTAATGATCGAGACCCTCAAACACTGAACCGAGGACAGGTTTCAGAAAAAAACAGCTTCCAACTGATCTTGACGGAACCTCACTTGGCTGGAGTTTCTGCACCGTAGCCTCTGCCGGAATTTGGAGCTATGCCTGTCTGTCAGATGTTGGCTATGAAGTTCGGCAAGGAATTCAACGAGTATTGGTAAACTATCAGTTTTCAAAGCCCTTGAGTCTGAAATATCCTCCCACCTTCATGGGTAAATAGTCCTATCGTAATGTGGTAGTAGTAGCTATCACATACTCGTATTGATGATGCAATTATCGGATTCCGCACTTTGTTTGCCCATGTGAGAGGGCGGGCGAAGGGGGATCAGATTTATCTGCCCATAGTGGCACTCAACATCCACTGACCATACACTCCATTTGTAAACGAGTATCGGTTACACTTCTCCAAGAGGTTGAGTTACGGATCGATAACATATGTCTGGAATTAGGGGGGTTTCCACTGCCAAACTCAACGGTTTAATCTAAGACATAGACCTCTGTTTCAACAGTTGCAGGCAGTTGAGAGGGAATCGGACAGGTGACGGCTACTCGTTAACAAAACCCCACAGAGCGGCATCTCAGTTGATAGCGGTGTCTAAAAGGTTCCAATCGAGATGAAGCCGCCGGCTGAGAAGATCGTAATTAGGCGTCAGAACATCTCATTCAGATAGCGATCGCTCGGCGACCTTTTCAAAATGATCGACAGGTTGCTCGAAGGTGTTAGATTGCGTTCGGGAGATCGTTCACTAGAGATTAGACTTTCACAGGTGCTCCCTAATGACTTAGCTTTGCCATGGAAGGAAGAAAAGAGGGCGAAATGCTTCTGGCAGAGCGCTACTCTTTAAAAAGTCATTTCTCATCTTTTTACCATTTCTTCATTATTCTCCATAAATCAATTTCAAGGGGTTCGACATGGCACAGCTAGAAATTTGCATGAAAATCTCTAGCCATGGGAAAAGGGCCTAATGATTAGCTGTAGCTAATTCGATAATTATTCAGAACTCGAAAAATTCGATGAAGTGAATCAATCAATACTATCTAAGTATAGATATCGACAGGAAGATTTGTGGCTGATCACCTCTTACATACCGAGCCACGACCGGAAGAGAATTCTACCAAAGGTAGTGGCTTGAAGCAATGAAGGCCATAAAAGTCATTCGGCCTAATGATCAATTTTTGAGCATCCTTTGTAGCTAGTCGTTCCCTTTGATGTCAGGCCGTTCTTCAGCATTATACAATTCATTTACAATAGTAACACATGCCAAAGGCGTTGAGGTAAACGAGCCTTCCCCTGAGTCGATTTATGAGGTCCCAAAGCGGAAGCTCTTTGGGTTACTTGATCAATGATAGAGCGCCCTCGTATCTATGAATTTTTCGTCAATAACTAATCCTGATTTTGAAAAAACTGGTATAAACAGCTCTCAAGACTTTCTAGATTAGCAATGAAGCGTAAATATTCAGTCTAACTATTAACCACCTTCCATCCACCCAGATTTTCCAGTTCCACTAGTACGCTTGATTCTATTGTTTTATAAAGAAGAACCTTCTGAAAGTATGACTTTACTACTATCGATTTACTCTTTCTTCTTGAGCAACTGCCGTCTCAAACTCAAGTCCATCCAGCGCTTATTGAGAACCACTTGGTGAATCCCGCTGAGGACCCTACTTACAGAACAACACTTCTTCTGCTTGTCAGCGAAAAACAAATTTTTTCCGAGTCAGTCTGAATGGCAGAAATCGCCTGTTCCTTGGTTCTATGTATGGGGAGAAGTTCTCCTTCGAAGTTTCTGTCAACTTTGGAGAATTTGCGGAATTTCATTTCCTACGAGGAGACATTCTGCAACGATGATGAGGACATGGTCGGAAGTCACTCAAAGGAATCACTAGCGGATTGCTCCGACTGGACATGGAGAGTTTCACGAAAATAAGCTCATTCTACTTCAGCCGTGTTGCATTCATGGTGGAGGACAGAAAAGAAAGGAAACGAAAGTCACTGAGAAGCAGAAAAGCAAGTGGTGGTGTACAATTGAGGAAGGAACTTGGACGCAAACCATTTTTCTCTTTGAAAAAACTCTCTGACCGTCCAATTTTTTCGAGTGAGTTTCCAAGTTTGGGAACACGTTACCGAGGTCGGGGCTTTGAATCGCACGATGCGCTGCTCAGGGAGTTCGTCCCTTCGTTACCAGGCTTCTTTGCACTGGACATTTCTGTAAAATCTAAGTTATCCAACTGAGCGACCTGTCGAAAGAAGTTGAAGAGTCCATCTACGAAAACCCGCTATGCCGACTCAATTTCCAATAAATGTAGCATAAATGGGAGCATTTCTCCAACCTTCTGAGATATTCTACATATACATCTTGTAGAGAATGGTCAGTAAATCAAATCTTAGCTGTTTATCGCAGAATCTTTTAGGTACAAGTCTTGTGCAGATTAAATAGGCTTCCAAATAATATCGCGATTCCGAATGAAGTCAAATGCTTGGCGTTCAGACACAGACGGGTTTGTCAGATCGAGGAAATCTTGGATCGTTTATCTTTTTATGGAGTTAATCTCTGCTAATTCTCACGAAAATAATTTGATAAAATAAATTGATAATTGTAATTATTTTAATTTAATAACTTGATAATCTTCTGCTGAATAATAGATTGAAGAGAGTGTTCGATTTCAGATTGGAACGCTACGTCTCCATAGGTGATTCCGTCGACATCGTCTGCCCATTCTATGAAGCTGATGTCGACTTTATGGACACTGAACAAAGTATCATCTACAGGGTAAGCAAGCCATCATCTCTAACCCATTCTCCGATCAAACCTCAAGAGTGATACTTTAGGTATCAGAAGCTGATTATGAATCTTGCACGCTTTCATCGGCAGCACGAGAATTGGGCAGATGTACTGCACCGATGAGGCGAGACAAAGTGAAAGTGTCGTTCAGATTACTCAGTCCCAATCCATCGGCTCTGGACTATCGACCCGGTCAAAGTTACTATTTTATATGTAAGTATTCGCTATTCAGTACTGGTTTGCTATCTTTTAGGGCTACATAAAATCCAGTTCGGTTGGAGAACTTGACAATATTAAGGGGTACCACGGTGCCTGAAACGGTGGGGTCTTCCAAGGCTCGATACTGTCATCCATTAGGAGTTGGCACTCCCACAAGCTTGCCTCTCAGATATCGCACTAGATGCCTTTATTTCTGAGTAAACATGATCTTACCACAAACACCACCTGAAAGTTAATTTAGGCTTATTACCTGTTCTTTCAGCTACTTCCACAGGAACCCCATGGGGTCTTGACAATACCCGAGGCGGATTGTGCTCAACTAATCAGCTCAAAATGATTATCCATGTAGGAGCATACGGTAAGCTCCTAATTCCACATCTGTCATGCCATATTTATACTGAAATACTGTCAGGTCGTTACCGTTCAGGTCATCATCATCGCCATCACAGAAAACCTCCCACAAGCACCACCACCGAAACGCCACCTCAGGAAGATTCAGAATGGCCGGCTGATCCACTATGGACACAATTTTTCGATAAGGTCAGTATTCAGACCTTCATGAACCTTGGTGGACAGAGAGCGCTTCGAGGATAGAGGAGCTGCAGGAAGAAATATCGAAGCCGGGAAAGAAGTAGTGACTAGACTGTGATGGGAGATCAGGAAAAATCATTTCCGAAGCTTATTACTGGAGAAAGAATTAAGTCCATGGGATATTCTCCAGCCCAAAAGATAGCATATATGTATGTAACGATGTGAGCAACTTGTTAGAGGTGGCGCTCCCACTCTCAGCGTCGAGTTGGAATCGAATTTTGGATTATATAGATTAAAAAGCGAAGTGGCAAGGTTTTCCCTGCAGTACTGATAGCGAAGTACCCAAGGGTACAAGGAAAAGTCCCGACAGAATTCTTTTCCTCGAGTGTGCCTTGGATTTCAGGTAGAAAGCGTCGGAAACTCCTTGTGGTCTAGCGTAACCAGAGGTGAGCGACTCTCACTGGACACGGGTAGTCGACGCCATGAATACGAATCGGTTCCGTTCAATGACGAGATGGAATTCCAAATACACGAAATTGGTGAAGGTTGGTTCCTACTGCTTCCCATTGGCGTAATGTATTTGGCAATAGCTTTACCCTCGAATTTTTTATTTTGCCATACTTATGCAGAGTCTGTTTCTTTCAGTGGAAAGCCTCTTTTCTTCGACAACGCCCTATCCTTCTTCGATCCTCGCTACAACCATTCTGTTTATGGCACTTTTGTGGACGTAACCTCACTAGCCATGCTGACCATCTTCTGTACGGGTCGTTTTTACGGGTAGTCGTCAACGTACGGCATTTGTATCTAGGAATGGCTGTGATACTTCACATTGATTGTATGATAATATCAATAAAAATACTTCACATTATATTTGCTCTGAATAATTGGCAAATGCAATGAAGGCGAATTTTATGATTAAAAAGCTGTACGGTAACAAAGTTGAGTATCAGTAACAGTGCTAAATACTGTTTGAAGACTATGAAGAATTCTTCGAGATTACCAGGCAATCCACTTACCAGACAGTTACACCTTTGGTTATCTTGGAAAACCTGTGTAGGCACCTAAAAATGGAATTGAGGAGTTGAAGTACGTCCTCCATACGTCAGAGTCTTCCTACCGATCTGAAGCTCTACAGTCTTGGGTTCAAGGTTTCTACAAGGTTGGCCTTTCCACAAGGATCCGATGAAGACCAAGCTCGGCTGATCTGGTCCCACTATCGGTTGCTGGGTGATTTTAAGGATCTACGAAGTGACGTTGAGAGCGCCTAGTTTGGGTTGCGTGGTGGTCTGGGGGGTCTCGAACTTCCGCAGGGTTGGGCAGACCTTTGATCTAATATCCGCAAATTGTTTTTGATCCATTTTCAGGCTCTAAAGAAGGTGATATCGCCGAAACATTAGCTAATAAATTTTTATACCAACCTCGTGGGAATTTCAAGCAAGATTAACATCAAGTCTTGGTTCGTTCAAGCATAGAGCCAGGGAATTTCACAGTGGAACTTTTCAAAAATCCAGCTTCAGCTCATGGGAAAAACCCTTCTTCAGCTGTGGAGGTCGTTTCACAGGGAAGAGGCGTGAAGGTTCAGCAAGGTTCATCAAGCTTCAAGTTAGCTCAATTGGTATCAAGGGAAGTGCTAACAGTAAGCATATTCGTCATGGAAAAGCGTTTCTGATGGCAGAGGAGTAAGCCAAACATTTTTGAGAGGAAAGATCATTTTATTACTATCGAAACGTGATAAGAAGTACCAAAGCCTTTTTCCGTTATCACCATTCCGCACGTCATTCGCAGAATACGACAGATATGGAAAACTGGAGAAAACGGAAATTCGTGCATATTCCAAATTTTTAAAAATTTTTGAAGTCATTTCCTTGACGAACACGATTTGCAAATATTTTGTTGACTCCATCAGGAGCGGATGCCAATTCACTCGATTACGCTGAGTGTACTTCAAACATTTATTGTGAGGGAGGAAAAATCGAGAGGAGCATTCTTCGAAAATT